ATGATGCCCAGGACATCAGATGTAATATACCGGAGAATGACTGCATTTGTGATGAATGTGAACACTCGGTAGGTTATCTGAAAGACATTTGATAGGTAGGTAGGTATAGCTTCAGCATCAATATGTGCAACACAGACCATGCTATTCTGGGCCCTGTTTCACCGGTGATAGCAGCACGCTGCTATCACACGTGTCAAATTGGGTTTCCATGGAAACATCAGCAAACCATGACACCGTCAATCTGTGTGATGTCATCAAATATTGCTGCCAACAGCTTCACGGCCGTGCGATCAAACACATCGCATTCAACGAAACAGCAACTCTGTTCCAAACGCAGCTCACGGATTACACGAAACGTCATTAGTGTGACCTCATCACATTACGTCAGCTCGCGCAATTTGATAGTAGCGTGCTGCTATCAACGGTGAAACAGGGCCCTGGTCTCTGCAGCATACAGGTAGGTACTTCATTGGTGGAAAATCCCAGGGGGTGCTTCAAACCCCTAATTATCCACCCCTGTTTTTTATTTTAAGTTCCATCCAGTACCAGTATGAGTGTTTATGGCTTGGAAGGTAGGTGAAACATTTCATTATTGTAATTTTAATCTTTTGAGACCTGAATTTCAACATTCTCTTGAGAGCCTGAGAGCATTCATGCCAAGGTTTCTGAGTCTGTTTCATGATAAAGAGACAATATTTATAATGGAGTCAACTTGTGGGTCTCTACCGCTGAATGAAAAGGTTAATCATCAAAATATTATCACAATCACCCAGCAACACACGGTATATACCTACAGCCACACAGCCCAATACCACAGACAGCCAATAAACAAGCAGTGATGAAGGCGTGTTCAAAAAGTTAATATGCAGCTGTCGACACTAAATAGTCGGTGATTTTCCGTTAGAAATTTTGCGCAAACACCATCTGTATAAGCCTTCGAACAGAACCACCACAATTGAAACAAAAGCGCCAAAAAACTGGAATGTTTGTTTTTTTCGCTCGGGAAAGATATATACGCGTAACCGAAACGTCCGAGGCACACGATTCGGGCCGTATTTCACAAGAACTATTCTTTGCTGACTGGAAGCGTCAAAATGCAAAATACCTAACAATTTTTTTTATTGGCTGCCTCGTAGAAAATAGGAAAAAAATGTTGGTATTTTGGTTTAGTCTTTGCATGTGAAATAAAATGAATGAAATATTTTGATAGATATTTTTTTCTGACCACCCTGCTGTCGCTGCATGGCGAATCAGTGCCCACTGACTTAAAACAAGAAAACTTTGTTTTCATTTTTTGATTTCATGTTAATTTAAAATGTTTTTGAGCCTATCAAATGATATAAGTATTTAAAATTTAGCTCAGTCGTCCCGGTAAATGCCACAACTGCGCCATGACTGTACGCTAATCCTATTCCGTTTGTGATGCGAATTACCGGCCGTCGAGGAGTCAGCCCGGGTGAGCCAAAGAAGATCCGTTTGACGTAGATAAAACGAATTAGTCTCATGTAACCGGTGCCGTAGATCCGTTTGTGGGGAGCTGATGCGCATTAGCGTAGTGCGTATTTGGAACGGATCGCTCATGTAACCCCGGTAATAGAATACTAGGTAACACCGGTTTGTCCGCTCAACACAGGGCCAATGGTCACCACTTTCTTCAGCTGACGTCTGTGACCTTGAGCTGACCTAGGATGATAAACAGCTGACAATTTAGGCCATTTGGAGCTCACTTGACAGCTGAAGAGCGTGATTAAAAATATAAATATTTGTCAGGCACTTACAAAAGATATTATTCACCAGTCATTTTTTAAGCACATTCTGTCATAAATTAGCTGACTCCCTCTGGTCTTCCACACGGCAGAAAATGCAAGTGCAAATTCTGCCGTCTTGACGTGAGCCAAACGCTTATGATACATGTGATCGTTTCTCTCAGAGCACAACGGAAACTGCGAGAAAACAAGAGAGAGTCGGACTCTACAAATGAATGAATTTGGAAGAAAAATAGCTGTATTTTTTCCTGTGGAAATGTTGACTTTGAAAACATTGGCCATCAACTTTAAAATTGCCCCCAAATATGAAAATGTGTGAATTGACAAAACAGGCAATCTTGCTGTTTTTGCCCAAGTTTGTTCATGATTGAGAGAGATTCGATGCGAAAATGCACTGATATGTACTTTTGAAAGCGAGGTCTCGATCAGTGTATTAATTTTGATTTTTAACTTAACGCTAGTCCCACTTTTCCCTCCAAGAAAATATATTTGTCAATTTTTCAATAATCATATTATGCGTCATTGCTTTAAAAATAAAGAGAGTCGGACCGTAATTCTTTCAAAATGACTGATCGTGCTCAATATCTATCGGAATATATCAACAGATTGGCCAGACTCATTGGCTAAATATGTTAAAATTCAGTAGGCGGAACTATGGTCATGAGTACCCAAATATAGGAACGTTCCCATTTTTGGGAACGGAGTTCCCAAATATGGGAACGGGCGTTCCCATTTATGGGAACGGAAGGTAATTTTTCGTCCGTTCGCCCACTAAAACTCATTAGTGCATCACGTCTCAAAAAAGTGCACGCTAATTTAAGTATCTACTAAGTCTCTATAAAATTATCTTTAATCTGACCGTTGCACAAGGAAATTGACCGTCGAATGATATTTTTAATGATTTTTTGAAATGACGGAATGGTGAAAACATGGGTTATACTACATTTAACTTGCAATTTTAAGGAAAATGAAGCGTTTTTTACATTTTGAGGTCAAGTATAAAAATTTTCGCCTGGTTATGAAGTTTCATACTGGCGACACCAGATGCTGACATATGCAAGCGAACACGCGGACAGTCCGGGGGTAATATTGGTGACATTTGGTGTCGGGGCGCACGACCGCATGGAACGTCAGTGATTTTACCGAACTACTGTTGTAAACTCAGTTTCAGTGGTTTAAAATTATTCAGCTGTATTATATCATGCCAGATAGACATATTTTATTTGGATGCTAGCTGTTTAGAGTTGTTTTATAAGGAGCGTCATGAGCGTGGTTTTTGTCTTCCGTGTTTCTAAGCGTGATCGTTTTGGGGGAATTTCTCTTATATAGGTCGCTCTGTGTGGCTTATTTATAATTTTTATGCTGATTTCGATCATTCCTCGTGCCCATCCTACCAGGCCTTTTGCCACTTACACTCATTAAGAAAGGAAAAAACTAGATTGTCATTGGGACTAGGTGTTTTGAGGGTGTAACATATTCAGCGTTCCCATTTTTGGATACTTCCTTGTGCTCGTCAACTATCGGTGATAAACAGACAGGTGCTTGACATGTCTCCACCCTCGGCGCGGACGGTGGATATAGGTATGGAAGACCTTGTTGAACATCGCTGAGCGTTGTGAATTGCATAATCCTGCAGAGGGGGGCGTGCCCGCTGCGAGATCGACGGGAATAAAAGCGCAGAAGACCGGGCGAAACATGCAACGGTCTTGCCGGAAAGGTCATCTGATGATTGTTGCGTTTACAATAATTTGCGGCGTTGGACGTGATGCTTGTTAATGAAAAGAGCCCCTGAAAGGCGTCGGTGAAATCGTTCCCAATTTTGGGTACGCCGTTCCCATAATAAGGAACGCTTGCAGCGCCAGTGTACGAGAGCGTTCCCAAATTTGGGCTCGCGGCCCGGATGATGGACTGCTTTAGAAATAGGGGAACGATTTGAAACTACGATGGGCCTTACAATATCAAACTCTTTCCCAACAATATTGAGACAAATATCAGGCGGTTCACGATCGTTTTATATTTTTTGGACGTCATTTAACGGTTCTTTTTCTTGTTTTAAATAATGCCTACATGGCGTTCCCATATTTGGGTTTATCGTTCCCAAACATGGGAACGAAAATGCGTTCCCGAAAATGGGTACGCTTGACCATAGTTTCGCCTACTGAATTGCATTTTTCTAACTTTCTGCAGATTTTCCTGCAAAATTTTACTGTAGTTTAAGCTGCCTTTCCTGCAGATTGTGTTCACAGACCAATGGGAGACAAGTATTTCTTCATCAACAGGTTTATTCGCCATCAATTGGTCTAGCGGGTGTTTTTCGCATGCGCAGCTTATGTCACAGCTGCGTAAGAACATGTTCGCTTTAAATTATGATGGATATTTCTTTTCGGAATATCAAAGGTCAATGTTGATGTGTTTCATAAGATTTGTGGTGGCGGGATTATCGTCATTAACTAATTACTTGATATATTTTAATGGGGAGTGGTGTAATGCCCGCACGACTGTTGACTTTCATTGTAATTGCTTGAGCTGGTTCTTGGGCCGCCTCGGATAGCAGGATGGTGTGTCTAGTATCATGGCCTGACAGGAAGGTGGGTACCCCGACCCCTAGCTCAATATTATTCTCAGATGAAGCCCGTATATGTCTTAGAGCTTGTTAAAGTTTTAACCTCACCTACATATAACCTAACATAACCTGAATTCTGAAATAACCAGACATGCTATAACCCTTATTTTGGTCAAATGCTGATGAGCAGAAAAATATTAACTTTTTGACAATTTGCCATGCCTACCTATTGCTATGTCTGGACGAGGGTTTCTCGGTTACTGTGTAGATAAACTATGGTGAAGATCAAAAACATCATCTACCCTAGCCTAACCTTTGCGTACTAAACTACCACTTTTGGTAAATGTTCAGAAAGAGTGATTCACTTTTCAGGCATACATTTTGTACATTCTTGCACTATTTGACATCCTGAATCCAGGTATGATATTTACATGTGATACAAATACAAAACAAAAATCAAACCTTACCTAACCCCATGCCAGACTGGAAAACATCCATACACTACGCCGGATGCCAGTGAGACCATGGCCTCGTTTCATAAAACTCTGCCGTAACTTACACCTTTCCGTAATTCACACCCTTTCAAACTACGGAGCGCAAATGAAGCGGTTTCACAAAGCCACGACTGGAATTGTTTACACCTCCGTAACTAAGCACGTTTGCGTAGTTACCGTAATTTATCAAGCGTCCTACAAATTACAATTTCGTGTCAACACTTATTTTTTTACGAAAAATTATAAAACAATTATGTTGAATTTTAATCTTAAAATTTATTCATGAAAAAAACAAAATTGATATTGATGACCATCCTTTATTAAATCAATATATTGAAAATAGCACAAAGCAAGCTAAGCAGAAGTGTCTTACTACGAAAGTGGCGCGGCGCGGCGAATAAACAAAATTCCGATAGTTGCCACAAAAAGCGACTGGTACAGAAGATTTGCAGTTTCTTTTTCTCATTTTGGCTGTTCTTTCTTCCTCACCGGGCTCAACATTATAAAATATATTAAAAATTAGCTGAGAGAGAGAGAGAGAGAGAGAGAGAGAGAGAGAGAATTTATTTGCTCATATACAAAATGCATCTTTCATCTTATAACGCGATTCAGATTGGCGTAAAAGCGCTTGGGGCGCTTGTGACACGACGCCGCTCACATCAAAGCTAGTTGAAAGTCAATAAATACTATCTCAACTACCACGTGCACACTCCACACACAGACACACACGCGAGCATACACGCGCAAGTGTATAGTATATATATATATATATATATATATATATATATATATATATATATATATATATATATATATATACATACATATATATATATATATATATATATATATATATATATATATATATATATATATATATATATATATATATATATATATATATATATATATATATATATATATATATATATATATATATATATATATATATACAACAAATAGGTTTAACTACAGCCGACCCTGCTCCAGCCGAAGCGCCAGTCCCCTAGCCCCCTCCATTGCGCCATTGATGTGTTTGTGTATTTTGCTCTCGAAACGCTATTCCTGTCTGTAGGTGAATCTCCGTGTTTGGAGAATGAAACATTGGACAGCCAAAGCTGTGTTATGTATGGTATTTCTATTTGCTTGCTGTGGACCGTTAATGAGTATAGCCATCTTCTTTTTGTTTGTGAAGCTTAGAAAGTTGGTTCCTATAACTTCTGTTAATCTACGAAATAGGTCAGATCGCTGAGTGTTGAAGAGAGGACATATGAGTAGAAAATGTTCGACGGTTTCTTTTGGAGCACCACATCGGCAGATGGCTGAGTTGCTTTTTCCTAGAGCATATCTATGCTCGTTTAGTTCTGACGCTTGGAGCCTGATTTGGGTATGTAGCTGGTTACCTACTTTAGAGCCTTCGCTAAAGTAATGTGGAGCTGCCTTATCCATGCCCATAAGTGCATGGAGCGTTTTTTTGAATAGCCTCCAGTTTATTTCGCTCCTCAAGGCGTCGGAAAGTTCGTTCCATATTTTAGTTGTGGCTGGAACAAAGGATCTGGCATAGGCAGCTGACCGGGCAGCTGGTACGGCACGCCGTGTTGATTGTGTGGAGCGTAGTTCCCGATTTAACTCTGTGGCTCTGGTCTGGGGGATTATGTCCTTGATATAGTTAGGTATTCGGTTATCAACTATGATTTTGTGGTAGAGTTCGACTCTATGCGTGCGCCGTCTGTCTTGCAGCGTTGTCCAGCCAAGCTCTGCTCTAAGACCAGCAGTCGACGTCCGTCGAGGCGTGCCTGTGATGAGGCGTGCCGCTCTATTTTGTGCCTTTTCGAGTCGGGACTTGTCATTGGCTGTCAGATGGCAATCGAAAATGGTGTCACAATAGTCGAGGTGGGGCTGAATGTACATCTGGTAAATATGAAGTAAGATCCGTCTTGGCACCAAAGATGCAATAGGGAAGAGAGGACTCAGCGTGCGATTGAATTTCAATAAAATATTATTTACATGCGACTTAAATCTAAGGTCAGTGGATATAGTCACCCCAAGATGTTTATGGGAGTCTCGAATGGGAATGATCTTATCGTCAAAAGTTAGAGCTGGGATACGCGCATGTTTGTAGGTAAATGTCTGTTGGGTGGTTTTATCTGCATTAAACGTTATTGCCCAATCATATCCGTAGCGTTTGATCCGATCAAGATCTACTTGAAGCGATCGCTCAACTTCGTGAATATTATCAGCATTATGACTGGCGTGTAATGAACTGTCATCGGCAAAAAATAGCATTTCGTTGTCAGTCATACTGCTGAGCCCATGCAGGTACATAATGGCTAGAAGGGGGCCTAGGACAGATCCTTGTGGCACTCCAGCTGATATTTTGCGTTGGGTAGAAGTAGCCTGGCCTACCTGCACTATTTGCTTTCTTCCACTTAAATAGGATTTTAACCAATCAAGATAGGTGCCTCTTATTCCGAATTCGATGTCACATTTCGCTAACAGACCCTCATGCCATATTTTTTCAAAGTATCTTGAGATATCTAGATAGATGACTGTATAATCGTCACCAGAATCCATAGCTCTATAAAGTTTGTCAGAAAGATAGCTAAGCTGAAGTTCCGTGCTGTGCCCTGGGCGATAGCCGCTTTGTTTTTCTGTTATAAGTGAATTGCTATAGATGTGGTGGTATATTCGTGCGAACATTAGTTTTTCAAAGATCTTTGATAGGCATGGTAGTAAGCTTATCGGGCGATACGATCCAGCTTCAGACGGGGAACCTCTTCCTTTGAAAACGGCCTTCACTGTTGCCTTTTTCCATTGGGTTGGATATTTGCCTTCTTGTACGGATTTGACAAAAAGTTTGGATAGCGGTTCGGCAATATAGGCAGCAGCCATTTTTATAAGTCGTACTGTTAAACCATCGGAACCGCAGGCCTTTGATGGGTCCAGACCGTTTATTACATTCAATACCTCTCGAGGTGTGATGGGGGAGAAGTGGAAATCGTGTGGTGTTCGTGGGTGGGAAGTTTTATAGTCACGCATTGACTGCAAGTGATGATTCGTGATGTTTATCTCAGTCTGGGAGCAGAAGTACACATTGAGCGCTTCGGTCTTTTGATGGTCGTCGCTCAGTATATCATCTCCGACAATCAACGGGGCCATAATCATGCTTTGTTTAAAACCAGTGACACTTTTAAGAATTTTATGATATTTGTACGGGGTTTGTTTATTAGCAATGAGGAGATTTACTTTGTGTTTTATTACTTCGTTCTTTAGTTTTCTATTAAGGCCTGTCACTAGGTTACGTTGCGATCGCCATCTTAACCAATCTCGCTCATCATTACGAAGCTTCGCGATATTGAACAGACGATCGCGCTTCCGCATTTCTCGTCTGAGTTCTGCAGAGACCCAGGGCTTGCTAGTACGGGTTCTTATCACTTTCCTGGGTATATGTGCCTCAGCGGTGCGCAAGATGGCTGATGAAAGTAGTTCGACAGCATCATCAATATCAGCATTTGCTATAGCACTCCAGTCGATTTCTCTCAACGCATTAACAAAGCCGTCTACATCAGCTCTGAGATAGTCCCAACTCGTGACTGTGGAGCGCCGACTCTCTTCGATTGTATGGAGCGGAATAGTGATAAGCAGAGGTAAATGATCGATGTTTGAGAAAGCCGGAGCGACTCCTGAAGCTTTGACCATATCTGGCTGGTCTACAAATGCCAAATCTCTCAGATTGTTGACGCCACCCTGCACCCTGGTCGCTGTGTTGATAACCTGAGTTAGATTTAATGTTTCAGCAGTGCTTTTCAGTTTAATGTCGAAGGCCGTGATCGGGGAGTGACTTGGTGCTCGGTCAGACAGCCAACAGTTTCCAGCATTAAAATCACCCAAAAGGATCGTGAGATCGGGAGCAAATTTCTGAGCTTCTAGAGTGCTGTCTGATAAATATTCTAGGAATTGGGACTGCCTGTCGGCGGAAGCATTCGGCGGGAAGTATACTGAACAAAGAAGAATAGACTTGTTGTGTAATTTGAGTCTCACCCATATGGTCTCAAACGCTTCACTCTCTAGAGAAGATATTTGTGAAAATGGAAGTGTGTTTTTGACATATATCGCTACTCCACCTCCTTTTCTTGTTCTATTCTTCAATATCGGGGTATGAAAGCCTCTGAGAGAGTAAAGACTGGGGTGAATCGTGTCGTCGAGTTTAGTTTCTGATAGCGCTAGGATGCTTATATTATTTGAATCAACAAAGCATTGAAGTTCTTGTAGTCTCTCCGGGGCTGTGATGGAGTTGATATTTATCGCAGAGATGTTGACGTGTTTACTTGGAAGCGTGTCGGCAATTATTGGCACAGTGGGTGCGGGGCAGGCGCTTCGGCTGGCGGCGGGTGATATAATTCTACTTGTACCTAATCATCTAAGTTATGTCTAACAATATCAGCACTGGTTTCGATTTTGACAGATGCAATTAACAAAAGAAGAAGACCGAGTCCTTCATCAGCTAAAAATTGCATGGAACTAGATAATCAATAATCATAGTCTACACATCTGAACATTGCATGGTGACACTGTAAACGAGAATTTTAAAACGCAAGTCGCATTTGTACACTAAGATCGAGATCTTTAGTCCCTGAAACGGTAGACACGAGGCTGGCAAATCCGTGGGGTACAGCGCATTCCATTCCTGGTCAAGGGTCCGGAAGCCTGAGTTCTGTCCATCCCCTGGCCCCACTCCCCCCGAGTGACCGTGGGTGGTCGGGACGGGGTTACCTGGTAGCTAGTCGGGCGCACACAATGGCACGCTTCCGGGGGTGAGATTAGTTCTGCGGCCGGTCCTCTCAGTTGGGGCGACCGCGGCGGCGTTCTGTCACCCAGGCGTTGACAGCGTCGGTCCGCGCCCAGGATGGGTCAGCACCCCGCTGCGCCGCTGGGCCGGTCGCATCTGCCGCCGTCCGGCGTGGCTGGAAATCTGCTAGCGCGCCGGCTCCCACGACTGCCTCCAGGTCCGATAAGCTTGCTACGTGGACTGCAGCATCTTCCTCTGCCTTTTTTATTTTGACGTTGCCGTTGGTGGTGTATGCCGCCCACAGCGATTTTCTCTGCTTTAGTTGCCGGGCGACGTATAGCAGATGCTGATTTTTGGGCGTCAGACACTCAGAAATGTAGTGTCTGAATCTTCACATTAATTCAAATTCACGCAACATTTTTGTGCGTAGTTTACACCACTGATATCAAGAGCTTGATAAAATCATGGATTAGAGATTTCCTGGATCGGCAACTCTCCGTCGGCGCCTTTGAT